GGGTTAAGCAAGCTACGCCAAATGCTATTAAACAAAATATTGTTACCCCGATTGTAGACATCAAATGTTTGGACAATCTTCAAAAACAGAAATATATTATTTATATAATTATAATAAACATATATATTAGTAAAAATATATATTAGTAAAAGAGCAGGGCTAGTTGTGAACTACAGCCCCACATGATGGAACATTGTTTATGACTGAAAAACTGTAAATAAAATAGCAACTTGAACACCCAGCAAACGAGAATGGATTGAAATGGATTAAAATGGATTTAAATTTTCAGAAATACAGATTCATGAATGTTAAAATGAATCCTTTTCAATCTTGAATGCATTTTTATTCATTTATAGGAATTTCATAGAGCGTATTTCTATGCCTTTCAATAAAAAATATTTTTTGTGCATCGTGAATACTACTCAATTCAGAATTATAAATAGGAAGTACAGTCTTTTTAATTTAGTTAAATTTAAAAATAATATCAGCCATTTCTGTGACACATGAATACTCAATTCAATATTCTGAATATGAAATGCAGTTTTCCAATCTAATTGAATAAAAAAAGTTTTTATTTATAAATGGATCATAAATGCTACTTAATTATTTAAATTTATAAATAGAAAATTTTTCATTTTAATCCAACTAAATTCAAAAAAGTTGAAACGTAAAAATAATTGAGCTATGTTCTTTTGTTTCTCTTTTGATTAGAAGTAAAATTATTGATCGATGTGGACACTTACAAATCAACAGAACACAGCTCGAATATTACACTGATCGCGGTGCGCGACATCGGTTAAGTGAGATTAGGTTATCCGACACTTATTCAATATTGTCTCATTGTAGTGTAAATTGTTTATATTTTATTAAATGATGATATCTTTATTATATCTATATAATTTCATGCACTGGTTTAACTAGTTGTAATTGAAATAAAGAATGAATAACACATTTACCAATTGAAGAAGTGATGTAACGGGTAATAGAAGATTCATGATCCAGAGGAGATTCTCGAATTCCACTAAGGTGCGTTTTTTAATACCAATTTGAAGTAGTTAATTTTCAGATATAATATTATTATCAATGTTTTAGGAATAAAATTTGTAATTCTTAAATATAAATGTTTTTTTTTTTAACATTAAACTATTGTCAGCTCGGATCCAATCTATTTCAATCCATTCAATCCATTTTCATGGATTTAAAATACGTATTTAAAAAATTGTAATTCATTTTAATCCATTCTCGTTTACTGGGCAGTATAAAGTTAAAAAATACATTAATTATTTATATGTAAAAAACACATTTGATTGTTATCAATCGCTTTAATTACTACATAGACATAAAAGAATATTCACCTAATAATTTTACTTTTTATATACGAAAACGAAAAAGCGCACCTGTTTGACTATTGATAGCCGGATTATTGTATTAAGCACAGTAATCTCTGTCTATGTGTTACCTATGTGTTACACGATCATAGACATATCTATATATATTTTCGTTATTTACACTAAAAAATGTGTGATGGAAAATGGACATACCAGAAAATTCTGATTATATCAATCAGAATTTTCTGATTTGTCCATTTTTAACCAAACATTTTTTTCAATGTATTTATTTGTATATTTGCCTAACTTGCTGCTATGCGCAACCAGCCCCGCTTTATTCTACCTATTTTGTGAATGTGTATTAACTTCATAGCTCTTCGGTGAATATCGACAGCACAAATTATGCCTTCGTTCATCAGAATCTTAGTTTTCTGCGTAATATTTTGTCGAATATTAAAGTTTATTGCATGTTCTATACGATAGCTGTAAATGTTCGCGTCCTAATTATACAGTAATATATTGAATAACTCGATTTTTCAGCAAAAAATACATTATTTCATATACTTTGCCAATTACGCAGTTTAGTGGAAAATCGTACTCTCTTAATCGGTTCCCATATCTCTCCCTAGAGTTACTTGATTTTTCACGTAAAGTAATGAGATAATTATACTTTAATTGTTAACAAATTTTTAACAAATAATGAGCGCCGGTTAAAATCTTCTGAAGATCTCTTAAGATCATGACATTGATAACATAATTAAGATCAATGCTATCCCAGTGGCCTCCTCTATACTGCATAATTACTAAACTTTAATATATTATGTTGTTTAAATTTATTTAATTACAGTTCAAATTATTATGTTTATTCACTCTAAATTTTTGGGAGTGAAATTTTACTCCCGAAGAGTGAAGCCAGTCCGGCAGGAGTGAAATTTTCTCTCTTTGAAAGTAAAGAATCATTCTTTGACAGTGAAAAATCATTCCAAGCAAGAGTCAAATTTTAATCTCTGTACAGAATGAATAATTTCACTCTCTAAAAGGAAAGACTGAAGGTAAATGTGAAATTAGCGCCCCTATATCCAGTCTTGACAAAATTCATTTGATGTGTTTTTGCATGTAACATACAAATATAGTGGAAGTAAGTATGATTGAATAAAGCATCACTTTGTTTTGCGAGATAACCATTAAAGTTGACAGAAAGAAATTAACTTTCTAAGAAATTCACTCCTTGAAGGAAGTAAAATTCAATCTTGCCGGACTGATGCCATAATGCCACTATCACTTTTCTTGGAGTGAAATTTCACTCCCAAAAATTTAGAATGTTCTTGCATCTTCATTCGTACCTAGCAATTCGAAACATTCCATAGATATATTGAAGATACGTAAGAAACATAGTTCCTATTGCTAATATCGCAACTACTCCGATGCATATAATTGCGTAGACGTGCAATAAAATTAAATAAAAGTATTTTTCTTGATCGATAAAATATTCCATCATAATTGGTAGACGAGAAATATTTTTCGGTAAAATGAGACCATTCGATAAATACTGGCCGATAGAGCAAAAAGATCCTGCAATAACGGCAAATACTAAAAAATATTAAGAACGCAAAGACTACGATAGCGATGGTAAGAGAATTTGACACAGTGTGTATAGAATATACACACACACACATATATATGTATATATATATATATATTATAAAATTATATATTATTTTGATAATATATTCAATTTCTATTTAGAATTACTCTATTACTTATGCAATTTGTGCAATATATTATTATATTATTATTGTACAAATTGCATACTAACATGTTATTAATCATTGTAAACGTATATACATATGTGGCAAATACTTTAATAGAATCAGTGGGATTCTATATATTAGGTGTTGGAATTAATTCGTAGCGTTTTTAATGAAAGAATGTTATTTATTTCACATGAGCATTAAAAAATATATTAATGAAAGTACTTCCCATCACTTGTAAAACGCTACGAATTAATTCCAACACCTAATATTATACATAAAAATATATAGAAATATTAATCACAAATTACACAATAATTGTAAGCGTAGATTCGAAAATATTTTTTTACCTGTGAGTATAATTGTGTGACATCTTGCAGTATAATTATGTTCCTCTATGATAGCAACTTCGTTTTTATCTTTTACTTGATTACATACATGCTCAAGTTGCATTAATAAATCTTTTACCTGTTATTCCAATAATTTCATATATTGTCTTTGTATATAATAATATATAACAATTTTTTGAACATGTACCAAAATTCTTTTGATATGGATAGTTATGTTGTTAAACGCATATTCTGTAAGTTGTCAACTTACAGCTTTGATCTTAATACAGAATGAGTCGTAAGATATTATACAAAAAATAAAGTAAGACGTAGAAGATAGGACCTTGCTGATGAGATTTAAAGTACATTTTGATGTCATTAGCGTTGTCAACTACCAGTAGTAATTTTATTTTTTTATTACACGCTTATAAACAATCATAAATTTATATAATTCTTATATTACATAATAGTAAGATAAACTATTTAATAATGAAGATTTGCAAAATATTGTAGTATCCTATCACACAATATTACTATACTCTGTTTTTACCTGAAATATAATACCTGATATCAGAATAGTAGAAAAAAAAATAAATTGAAATCGTGTGAATTTAGATTGTTGATAGGGCCACAAGCCGATAACGAGCAATAGAATTCTATTAATGGTAAAATACTGAATCTCTGGATGAATCATTCTCTGCGATGTCCGGGATGCGACTGGATTGCGAAGCAATCAACGAGTACGATTATCCCTTCTTCTTTTCCATTGATTATCTTGATATTTTCTCTTATAGTGTAAATTTTTAGTAATGAATGCCATAATTTGTGTAATACAAGACTGTATGATATATCCCTCCCCCCTCGCCCCACTGTAAGATCACAAGTTCATTCATATTTTAGTAGTGTTTTTTGCAATAAGAACTATTAAGGTATTATTCTAACATCAAGAAAATTTTGCATGAATATCCTCTTTTAATAAAAAAAAAGAATGACATTTATCAAAGTACAGAAGTCACGCAAGCACCTCCACTTTTTGGTACAATAACTTCATTTTTTGTATGAACTCTCACAATGGTATGTTTGTTCTTTGAGAAATGAATATCCTCCATATTTTTCGGCATCGATCGTAATTAATACATCTCATGTCAATTTAAAACATAGTAATTAGATCAATAACATTTTCTGATATATTGTTTTATACTTTGCAAAATATTATCATATTACAAACATTATTTATTAAATATTATTTTAATAGATGCTACAATAAAATAATTAAATCTGTTCTTTATATTTGTATAATCTGTACAATTTTATTCATATGTTTACAGACTGAACAGTCTGAACCCAATGTAGGATTAAGTATATATAACTATATAATCTCGATTTAATTTATACTATTTAACTTCCCCTCCTCCTTCTTCTTCTCTCTCTCTCTCTCTCTCTCTCATACTTCAAATTAGAAAAAGATGAAGAGTAAATTGAACCGAGATTTAATCTTATGTTGGAGAATATTTTTGATTCTATATTTTTTAGTATAATAAAATTTTAAGCAAAATATATACGTAGTAAAAAATAGAATTTTCTTTTTTTTCAAACGTGAGAAATGCTGTTATCTTCTTCGAATATATGTTTTCTCATGCTCGTATTTGATTGTCACTATTTGTCTTGTCACTATGTAGATAATATGACAGTAAAATAAGATACTGAAGCTTTTGTCAACTGCAACCATATTATTGCATTTACTCTTAATATACTATAATATAATCAAGAAAACGCTATATAATCTTACCGTAGTAAAACACTCTAATGATGGGATAAATAATCCACCGACATTCAGATAGAAATTTTTGGCGCCTTTTGTCAACAAGAAAAGTATCGTTTTCTGGATGTATAAAGGAGTTATGTACCATTCAACTCTGTATCTACATAAATTATTAAGACAAGAATCAATAATTTGAGAAAAAAAATAAGAAAATTTACGAATAATTTTCATTATTTTATGTTAATTGTATCATACTATTGATATTAAATATTTTGGTATAAAAATTATAAAGTGAACCTTCTTAATACTGTTTTTCATAAGAAAATCCCTTACACAGTAGCGAACACGTAATTATTGTGATCCGTCATATTTTGCCCAAGAGAATTTGATATGAACAAATATAATATAAAAACAGCTGCAAATATCACAGGCAATAAAGCTTCTTTAGTAGCTTTCTCTGTCAATATAATCTGAAAAATCTGAAATACAACAACTGTAGTCGCACGACTGTAGTTAATTTGTTGCACTTTAATTATAACTTATTTTACGATACGGTTTTGTTTCTTTTAAGCAGAAAATCAGGATTGATTTATACATGAAATTGCTACGCAAATTTGGTCGATTAATAAGAAGTATCAACTCAAAATGTTTTTTCATGTAGTATATGTGAAATCAAGTTTCTATTATATGTTATAGATTATCTAATGTTTGATTAAAAATAAGAACAATATAAAATCCGAAACTTACTCGAGCAAAGTTGAAACACAATGAAACTACAAACATCTGCGCTAAACAGAAGAACATTATCTCAAAATAGGATAGCAAACTTTTGGATAATCTTCAAAAATAAATAATTGTTATTGCATATATTTTATGCAATAATTATATGTAGGATCATATAGATACTAACTTTATAGCTTGTCGATGGATATCTATAGCACAAATTAAATCCTCGAATCTTAAAATTTTGTTTTTTATGTTAATATTTTGCATAACTTTGATATTCATTGCGCGTTCAATACGATAACTATAAATAATATGATTTTTTAACAATTTCTTTATTATTGCAAAGTAAATTCCATCTCATTTATTCAATACAGCAATACAATTTTGTTCACAACTTCAAGTTTTGTGTTTGTTTTGTTTTACCTAGAGATTTTAAACATTCCACAGATAAATTCAAAATACGCAATAAGCATGGTTCCTGTTGCTACCATTGCAGCTCCTCCTATAAATAGTGCTATGTTCACATGTAATAGAATTAAAAAATAATATTTTTTTTGATCAATAAAATATTCTGTTACGAAATACAGGCGACTTGATCGAGATATGTTTGTCGATAGACCAACATCAATCATATTCCAAAATTGAATGATAATACCAACAAATAATGCACAAATGCCAATTACTAAAAAATATTGGGAAATAATTAATATTCGTATTTAAAAATGTTCTATATATATATATAATATTTTTCAATTATTTTCAGAGCAAATATTTACAAAAGGTCATCACCTTCAAAATCAATATACGTTATCAAGGTCATATCCCTGAGTGAGTTCCAACAAGTTTTAGCCGTCGCTCATTATTCGTTAAAAAGTTTGAAAAATAATGTATCTTTTTTACTATATAAAACAAAAAATTTTGACTTTAAAATATATTTTACGATTTATCACGCGAAGCGACTTCCACTCCATCTCTCCCCCTATTTCAGGGGCGAACGATTTCTACGCAAAGCGATTTTCACTTCATCTCCCCCCTGCTTCAGGGGCGCACAACTTTCCACGCGAAATGATTCTCATCCCATCTCCCCCCCTGTCACGAAACGCACGTCTTTTCACGTTCCCTTTCAGGTAGGATGTAAGTCGCTTCGCATGGAAAATCGTAAAATATATTTTAAAGCTTTTCTCCAAAAATGTCTGTTTTATATATATATATTTATATGTTGGGTTTGAATAAGTTTTCGCCGTTTTTTTTTTTGTGAAATTTTGCTTTAAACGTTTGCTAACAGTTGATTAATCAACATTAACAATTCTTTCACATGGATTTTCATCAAATAATACTTCCAGTTATTTATCTTTCAATTTTTCGATGCATTTTTACATTTTTTACCTTTTATCGAAATCATCACTTCTAAAGTGTTGAAACCACTTTTTTGGTTGGAGTATACTCCCCGTACACCTCCAAAAGACAAACAATAACTTTCAACTACACTTTTCTTAACAATAAACAATGCAGTTTCACAAATGCTGTTTTGTTAACACAAAAGACGACGTTTTCAGTGCAATGACAAAAACAAAGAACTTTTTTTGTTTATAACTTTTTAACGAATAACGAGCGACGACTAAACTTATTGGAACTCACTCAGAGACAACATATGTCAAGGTCATTGATTTTTAAAGATGTTTTTATGAATATTTACCATTAGAAATAATATACCATACATTGTATGTATATATATTCAAAGATGTACAATATGTTCAAAACATTTATTATAATTTGTTAAAGTCGATTTCTTATTAAAATCTGCACAGCTTACATGTTAAATAAGAAAACATAATCGTATATGAAAATATTATCTTACTCATAAGTGCAACCGTATAGCATTTCGCAATGTAACCATATTTTTCTATAATAGCGATTTCGTTTTTGTCTTTTAATTCGTTACATATATGCTGAAGTTTTATAAACGACTTTTTAACCTGTTATTTTAGTAACTTTATATAATATATATCTTTGTACGTAACAATAGGTATTAGGAAATATTGTTTGATATAAAAAATTTAACAGATAATATTTGATGATATGAACTTACAGGTTCAATATTAACGAAAAATGTATAATATTTTATCATGAAAATAATGAAAACAGATGCGGGAGCCAAAATCATGACGATGACATCCGAAGTCAAATTTGTTGTTATAAATGTTGTCAACTATAATTATGTATTTCTAAATTGTAATATAATTATAAATTGCATATAATGATAAATAATTATAATTAGATAATTATAACTATTGACTAGATTGATACAAATTATTTCAATTATTTCTTAGTAAAAAATTGCGCATTAATTTTTTTATGCAATAATGTTATTACATGCTATCCTCCTCACCTGAAATATAATACTTGTCATCAAAATAGCAGAAAAGAAAACAAATTGAAATTGAGTGATTTTTGATTGTCGATATGGCCACAAGCCAATAGCGAGTAGTAAAATTCTATTGAGACTTAAATACTGCGTTTCTATACAGATCATCACTTCACTAAGTTCGGCTCAAGAATGATTGTTAAGAAATCGACAAGCGTCTTATCCCTCCTTTTTCCATTGATCAATAAATACTTATATTCTATAATTTCCCTCTTCTAGCATAAACTTCAGTACATTATGTAATTTTGTTTAATGCATGATATTATCATGAAATAATAATACTCACAATTTTCCATAAATTTCGTAATGAGAGATATACCTTTACACTATCAATTTGATGCAAAAAGAAATTTCACAAATATTTTGTCATAAAAAGTGAAGCATTTGTAAGAAAAATTAAGTAAGAATATACCATAGTTGCACTTCTTATTTATTAGTAATTTTACATATTTTATTTTTGTTTGTAACTATATATGTTACGTTTGATTTTTTAGAAAAATATTATTCATTCAGTCTTAAATACTGCTATTAACTTTAATATTGTAATTCGTCTCCACGTTTATTTTATCATCCACACGTATTTTTATTTTAAAAAGAACAAAAATGTTTTTATCAAGTTTGAATATTAATTCTTTGATTTTTTTTTCCAAACACATGCGTGTTTTCATTTTAAATGAAGATATTTGCAATAATAATAAATGCAAATAAATATCAGTAAATAGTAAATTAAGGTTTTTTCCTATAATTAATTTATAGAGAATATTATTATAATACATTGATTAAAAATAACATAATCTTGTGTGTGTTTGTGTTAGAATATTTTTTAATAATCGCAGGATATTCTTATTATATTTTCATCCTTAAAAAAACCGCAATTCAGCAGTTAATATACTTTTCACAATTTGTGTAACTCGTGATTCCCTAATAGGAAAGATGTACCTAGATCATCCCGTCCCATTGAGACCCGCGCAATGCAAACAGGTGTCCTGGCGACAGGAGGGCGGTTCTATCAGGATCGCATCCCTCGCGAACAGTTTCTCATGCAAGCTATAAACGCATAAGCGACCTGTCCACCTCCATACATCCTTGATCCGGAAATATGCTTCGCGTTTGAGGCAATTACGGGCATTAGCGTGGGTGCCGCTGTGGCTTTAATTTGACTCGCAACCGTCTCGCTTCGGCGCTTTTGAACTTCCGAAATATAATTATACGCGACGCTCCCTTTATTTCGATAATAATTTTCTTCCTCTTTATTGTGTAATAGCAGCGTCCGGATGTGCATTTGACATGCAAAGTAAAACATATAATAATTATAACATATCTTTTAATATTTAGATTTGTATTTATATATATATATATATATATATATATGTTTTTAAATAATTTTTAATTGTTTAGAGCAATTTATAACTATGTAATATTACTTAATTTATTAATAACTTAATTTATTAATTAAATTAATTTTTAAATAAATATTGAACAAAGCTTTTTTAGAAAAAAAATAAAAATATTTATTATAAATAAGGAAATTTTGATGTATAAATAAATTATTCATTTAAATTAAATTTAACATATTTCGGAATCTTCAGATATAATAAAAGAATGGGTGTGAAAGATAGCTTTTGACTTTCGCTTGGAGATGATAGCCGTGACTCGAACTTTGTCTGAGAAGGCTGACGCACCATCTACGTCACCTTTATGTGTCAGGGCTGGATTAAATAATACAGCATTTTGAAACGTTATCAAAAATTTAGATTTTAAACTTAAAATTTAGATTTTAAACTGATAACACTAAAACATTATATCAGACTAGCTACGTTCTTCCCTTATAGAAATTTAATACTAATACTGACCAATTAATACTAATACTGACCAATTAATCAATTATTTTTAGTATTAAAAGTACTTTTAATAATACTTTTTAGTACTCAAAATAAGATTAATTGGCCAATACTAGTATTAAATTTTTACAAGGATTTAATCTATTTTTAAACGGAAGAAATACTACTTAATTTTAATCATACTACACTTAATTATTTCTATCTAAATTTAATAAATAACATTAATTTATAGATTGAATTTCTTCACACATCGATTACATTTTTTTTCCAAAGAAACTGTGGGATATTTAAATATTTAAAGCTATCAGATTCTGTAACATTATAAAATTGTTAAAATTAGTAATAACATTTACGAAAATTTAATCAAATTTTGATGTGAATCATTATTTTATTTTAATGTAATTTTTACGAAATTTAATTAAATGATTAACACACAAAAATATTCGATTCTTCAACTTAAGTTTTTATTTTATCGGAAGAAATTTCAACTCATCCACCCCTGGTATTCACAATGCAGAAGCTCAGATCGTGTTACGTCATCGCTTCCATTGTTACGTAGTGTTACATCGTCATAACCATCGTCATAATCATTTATGCACTATGTTCCTCTTCGTGACGTCGCGAAGATGAGATGCTTCGCATGCCAGGATCGCATGATTTTCCAGGAGCGCCTCCGATTTTCTATCTTTATCGCGTAAAGAGATCTATATTATCCATATAATATAACTCTTTCATTTTTTTTTTATTAAAATTTAGTTTACTGATCTTTAATAAATTTAGAGTACACTCTCTCTTGAGGAGAAATAATTAAAGTGCGATTTAAAATATAATGAAAAAAGGTATGGAATATTGAATTCTAAATAAGATTTCAATGCGAAGAAAATAGACCATTTTCAAATTTGATTATAATGAATATAGAGAGAAAAGAAAATTGAAAAAAATTACATAACGATTGGAGAACTGAACTGTGTTTTATACATTACAAACTGAAATATTATTTGTTATTTTTGTTTGCACATAAAAATAATTTGGAGGTCATTAAATGAAAGAATATTTAGGCTCTGGTGCTCGTATGTCATCGAAGATGCTTAGGTCGGGTTCGTCGTCAGGATCAAATTCTATGTCCATTGGATCGATCGTAGGAGGTGGATAGGGAATCCTGGGTTTCGCAGACGGTGCTGGACGCATCAGACACGCTTCCAGTCTTTCCTTCACGCACTTTCTTTCACCTGTCGCATTTATTATGGACGCAGTTTCCCCCGCGTATTGCAATATGGCATCTATATTTTCTTTGTATTCCTGAAGCTACATTTTGCAAGTAACAGCAAAAATAATTATAATAATAAATCGAGTAAGATATATAAAATACTTTATGTCTACAAAATAAATAAAATTAAAAATGCAGTTTAATTGTTAACAGAAAAGATTTGTAATTTATCATTTTTATCATTCACGTTTCTCCAACTATAGATAATAAAACAAAGTACTTATTTAAACTTTAAATAAGAAAATTTTTTAAGACATAATACGGTAGTTACATCTTGTTCGATGATGTCTTTATAATTATTGAAATGAACATCTAATTTATAGTCAGGATCTGTCACCGAAGATTCGCACGAGAACTCATGCTCACTGGTAAAGTTGCATTCATGATTTAAAAGTCTTTTTCTGCACGTTTGTATGTCTATTTCGAGGACGATGACTCTGAACATAATTTCAAAAATCGTAATTATTATAGGATTTCTGGAATTGTTTCTTATAAGATTTACCTATTGGGTGGTGTAGATATCATATCTAGGAGCTTGAACTCCTCCACAGTTTTAGGATAACTTGTCAAAATCCATCCTCTCTTGAGACAATCAGATTCGAGTACATACCGCTGGAAATAATGACAATGCAAAAACGATGCCAAATCAATTTAATATTTCTTAGCGAACTATAATCACACCTCAATAATTTGTACTCGCGCTTCTGATTTTATTTTTTGTGCACATCTGTGATCGCACATTCGCAGCATTTCACCTAAAGCCGTCTCTCGCAAACATGCTTCTTCCAAGATATTATTGAAATCAACTGTAAAAGTATATAATATATTTTTGTTCGAAATATTATTATTATTAAGAACAAACTTGTCTAACTAAAGATTAATATATTGACAAAAATGATTGTAAAATATAATATTAGAGATGAGTAATAAATCTTCCTAATAAAATATGTGTATAATTTTTAGAAAAAATATTAAGATGTTACTAAGTAATTACATATATCTGTATATTATACCATGAACGAGATTAAATCTCTCAGATACATGTTTTGCCAAAGAACGATGACCTGATCCTCGAGGACCTATAAAAACAATGCGAAAGAGTGATGGAGCTCCATAGTGTTTTTTAATTTTCATTAATGTCGCGCATTTTCTGCCCAGCTCTTGAATCGTCTTAGTACCAGCTTCAACCTCCTAAAGAGAATTTTTTTAATGATTTCGTAACAACCTAACAACATTTAACATAGATTCAATCAACGAATATTTATAATAATTCTAGAATAAAAATTTATTTTGCTAAAATATAC